GACTGATTGGTCGTTCCAAGCCCTCAGATGCCGAGTATCAAGAAGTACGAGGTATTGAGACCAAGACAGGCGCAAAGTTTCATATTTTCCAGGTAATTTATGGCATGTTTGCCATAGTAAATTTTCACTTGCTGCAACATTTTTACGATTACATTTCCCTTATAAGAAATGCTATATAAGCTCACGTTGTGTGATGTCCAGAAAGTAAAGCACATTTTATCTCATGGATTTCACAGTTTTCTTTTTTGTTGCTATAGATTGACATATCCAGCCAAGAGCAAATGCAGTCATTAAAAGAGCAGCTAGACTCTATTCCAAGTGTGGCTGGAATAGTACATACTGCCATGGTTCTCAGAGATGAATTTATCAAAGATTGGTCATTTAGAAGTTTCACAGATGTCATGGATCCTAAGATTAAAGGTGCATGTCATGCCTGCTATCATACTTTATTATCCTTAAACCATTTCTTTCGACCCAAGAATATATTGATTAACACCTTACAACAGGTCTGACACCTCAAGTAATACTACTTTACCTTCTTTTCTGTGTTTGTTTTCTATTTCACCTTCAGTAAATATATGAAACAAACGTAATTAAAAGGCAAGTGCACCTAACCCTCACAAACAAACCCGTTTAACATAAGTAAATCAATCTAGACGAGAATCCGAAATTAGCTTGTCTGTAAAAATGCAAATTAAAGACACTTAAACAACATTATCACTTTCGAGTTTGTAAAGTTACTTAAATTCATTTGTTTGAATTGTTGCTGTGTAGAAATATCATCAGGGTAACGCTGTTCATGTCATAGCCAAGCTATGAATTAAATCAAGATCATCAGTGTGCTACGTTTTCTTTAGGTTCCTACTTGCTACACCAAATGAGCTTGAAGATGGATCTTGATTTCTTCGTTATGTTCTCATCCATGGCATCCATCGTAGGAAACATGGGTCAATCATCATACTCCGCCTGCAATGCCTTCCAAGATTCTCTTGCCCAGTATCGAAGACGAGTGCTCAGTCTACCCGGACTTTCGATAAACTGGGGACCAATAAGTGGAGCTGGCGTGATGGAACGGCAGAGTGCTCTTACAAAATTGATGGCAGTAGGCGGACTGGGCTTCATAAATGCCAAAGATGGTAAAATGTTATTTCAGTAACATGATCAAATTGTAATATGCTAGAAACAGAACAAAATGAGCCTAGAATAGTCAAAACAAATGAAAATGAGCACGACTACGTGTAATGTGTGTGATGGGATATGTAAGCTCACTGATCTTCATGCTGGAGGGTGAGCCGATAAGAACAAATCAGCTTCTTTGCAAGCTTTGGTGGTGATACCGACAGGAAAGGACTTACCATCAGTAGATAACTTTATTTACCGAGCGATTCACTGGAATTTTTCTTCCGCGAAATCTTGCCTTTTCCTCTATTATACTATTTACAGTAGCACCAGAGCAATTTTGTTCATCTTGTAGTTCTCGTGACCAATTTTTTGATTAATTTTGCAGGAGTCAAACTTATGGCCAAGGTCTTAACCGAGGAGCCGAGTCGCCCGCAGATCTCGTTATTTGGTGTGGACTGGCCTCGATTTATCAAAAGTAATACCGGACTACAGAAGACTTCCCGACTCGCAATGATTACTACAGAAACCAGTGGTTCTGATAGCCAAACTAATACAGCAGAGTCTTTACTGCAAAAAAATCGCTTAGAGAAGGATCCCGAAAAGAAAAGGGAACTTATTCTTGAGTATGTTCGCATGTCAGTTGCGGAATTGACAGGCAGTTCATCTTCTTCAGAGACGGATCTAAACAAAAGCTTGTATAGCTACGGTATTGACTCAACTGCAGCTTTGACTTTGAAAATGCTGCTTGAATCGAACTTGCAGGTATCTTTTGAGGTGGGTATTTCATAAGATGAATAAAAAAAACTGGATTCTAATTTCCTCCTATGATAGATATAAGAGAGTCGCGTAAGTCCGCATACGTAATTTCTTATCCTTACATTCACAGTCAATGAAAACGCTCCCAATTTTCCTGAAAGCTTCTTATTTTGAAAAGTTCTTTGACAAACTTGCACATGAGTTTCTTCCTTTCAAAGGCTACTTTAATCATCATGTATAGAAAATAGTTATGGTCTATTCAAGCAGCTTATTGCAGTGAGTTCAATTCGATCTTTTATGCAGATAAATCTACCCGTGTATGTTAAACTTGAAACAATTAAAACATTTTGTTTCAGGTGTTCTACTTTATGCAGCCCGACACTACCACACTAAAAATGGCCAATGACATCTATGACAGGCTTCGTGGAAAATCAGTCAGCCCACAGAATAGCGAGAGCCAAGGAAATGAACCCGACCAAACTCAGTCAACGGAGGATATAAATGCTTCAGTGGTACCCTCCAAGAATGAGGTCCAAGTTTTACCCCTTTACACTCCTGAGGGATCAGCAATAAAGTTCTTCTGTGTGCACCCTTCACATCGCTACGCGTTGAATTTGGTTCCCATTTCTACCGGATTTCAAGGACAGGTACATACCTGAGAAGTATTGACATTTTTTAGCCCTTTTTTAGCGGTCAGTGATGCGATAATCATTTGGATATTATTTATGATCAATCGTCTTACATTAATTTGGATCTATGGCTAAGGAATATTCTGCTGTCTTTGTTACAGTTTCATGGTAACCTACATCTCATGGCGGAGATGGCGGAGTAACGATACGCACTCGAGGTCGCTTTCCGTCCCAAATCTTAAGAGATTTTACAATTTTTGTCCCGTGGAGGTTCCTCCTTTGGTCCCCCCGAATATATCACTAAGGGGTGTTAGGCTGGTTGCACTTCCGCCTAACCTCAAAAAATGAATGTTTACTTCATAATTTTCGAAAATCTCATCTTGTGACTCGCATTTTTTCATTTATCATGTATTATTAGGACTTAGTATCCTTTTATGCTCTGGGCTTTACTGACCCTACGGTCATTAGTGAGGACTGGGGTGGAGTACGTGAGCTTGCCGCTCACTACGTTCAGCTAATCGTCAAAGAACAGCGCCATGGACCCTATTTTCTCGGGGGATATTCCTATGGAGGACTTTTGGCGTACGAAATGGCTTCCCTACTGACCGAACAGGATCACAGGGTGGAGTTCGTTGCTATGATTGACACCTTTCCTTGGTCACCGCGTTCACGGACCATAACCACCAGGTTATTTTCCATGAAGAAAGACGGATGGCTGCCATCGCAACATGTTCAGGTTTGTTCGACGAGTCAAAATTATTCATATTCAATATATATCATCGAATTATTGTCATTAGAATAAGTAAAAATTTCGCATTTTGAATTAAAATCTCGAAATACAAATAAGTCATTTTTGAGATTTTTTCCGTTATGTGTTGTACACATATTTTATTACGTATACCTCATTGGGTGATTTTTGGGGTGATTTTTCCAATAACTTTGGCTCGTGAGGACACTTCTTTATGAATCATAGTTTTAATGCATGGGTTTAACCTAGTGGAAATCATTGGATCATTGATTTACGAACCCAAAGGGAGGTAAAGGAGAAAGAATATCTCCTTTGCTTTTAGAGATCTGTCCTGATTGACTTGATAACTAACCGTTCCAATTGGTCTACAGCTGTTTTGTAGCTTTACATTTGATCCATGACGAGTATTTTACTTCCATTAGAAAATTAACAGATTTCTTTTTATCTCTATTCAGCTCCAATTCGAAAGCTATTTGGAAAAGCTTGCAGTAGACTCCTTAAAGATGTCCGTTGACGAATATCGACAAATGAGAGAGACACACAGTCAAGACTGGACCGTTGATGAGTTACAGAAAAGAAGTCTTACTAAAGGTCTTACTACCTACGATTTAAGGACTCTAAGAGACGCTCTTCTGAGGAATCAAACCATTGCCAATAGGACGCACCAAGAATGGCAGCCTGCAGAGGTAAGGAATAACGAATATCCTTACAGTAAGGAAGTAGGTTGTCCAAATTTAATTTACATAACGAGAAGAGTATCAAGCCATTGGACATCATAAATTTATTAGAAAGATGATTATGATTGGAGAATAACTTTATTTGCATTTTTGCATTCCTTATATTCAATAGGTTCGCTATCGAGGTCCCCTCACTTTCCTCAAATGCCAGAACAGCAGATTTTTGCCCCGTAATCCCACGTCACACGGCATCGAGGAAGTCTGGAGCGAGTTGGTAGATGGAGGTACCACAGTACTCGTTTGTCCTGGTGATCATTATTCCTTAAGTGAGTTACCACAAGCCCAAGTAACAGGGGGTATCCTAGCAACAGCCCTGGCCTTCACCTACCGCATGTTGTTCCCAGAATTCCCTACACCTCCAAGAACGTTCAACCAAAGACGCGCCGTGGGGAAACTTTCCGGTGGTGTAGGCGTGTTCCTCCACTCGAAGAAAGGTGATTTGAAAAACGCCTGTACTTTTATTGAAGAAGCATAGTTTCTTTTTCTTCTCTCAAATACAATCATTGTCTAAAGGCATGCTGGATTTTCGGTGGTTCCATTACTCTTCTAGAAAATCATTCTGAAAACTGTAGAGACTTTGTCACTCGCCTTTTCCCATTGTTTACCCTGAGTTATCACTGACTCCATGCAAATTTCCCCTCTTTTCATTGCCATTATGACCTCTATGGTCTAGGTTTTGAAGGCCTGAAAATGTTGGAGATCTGCCTCAATGTAGCTTTTCAGATGATAGATAGAGGTATCCTGTCTGAATCTAATGCTTAATTAACACCTTTCTGTTGTATTAGGAAACAAAATGCCGCATTACGGAGACCTATTTTTTCATGAAGATTCCCACAAACTTGAGTTGAGATCAAAATCTGGCGAAGGAGAAGTGATTCAAAACGAGAAAGCTAAAAAGATCATCGATTTGAAAGGTAACTATACGTTTTTACCCTGCGCAACTTTATCAATCTTTTCGTTTTTTGTGAACATTTTTTTCTTGGGACCAGTTCCCCAAGATAGGAAACATGCTTCTTAGTCAAAAGGGGATCAAGCTATGAACTCCAATCCCTAATACAGGTCTAATCCCTCCAAAATTAAATAAGTTTAGGATCTGGACGTATGAGTCTCCCGGGAAGAATTCAATTGCCTCAATGAATATGATCAATTTAAGTCATCCTGGGATAGCTGATTTGAAAATGGAATAATTACCATAGAAATAAGTTCATGTGGAAGTTAAAGTCCCTCCGCTTGATCCTCTATTTTCTGTTTTCCAAATGCTCTCAAGTGAAGTATCAGGTCAGGTTGTTTAATTTTTGCTTCTAACAAGACACTTAACAGTCACCGACCCACTTGACCCTCATTCTGTCGCCCTTCACCCAAACAAAGAGTACCTTTATTCTCTAAGAGAAACTTGAAAAAACTGTAGGGGATGGTTGTGATACCTCTGCTTTGAGGGTATTCACGTATGGAATATGCGTCTGTTTTTTAAAACAAACATTTACTTTCACAACTCAATTGCAAGCATCTCTTGTAAGGCAGACATAAAGAATCATGGGATATATTCTTTTTCCTATTCTTAAATTCATGAGCGCACCAAAAATCTCTTAAAATGAAAATCAATGTTTCAGAGCTTAGCATGGTACAGCCAGGAAGGCTCGTCTCCAGTGCCCTGAAGTATACCTGGCGAAAAAGAAGAGTTGGAGGTTATGAAAGTGGAAACCTTGGGCACATTGCTTCGATTGCGACAAGTCGCCACGTGTACAACTTGGAATTTTGTGATTACTCTGATTTGAAAGCGTTTTATAACATGGTAGAGGCTGTGTTTGCTCTGAAGTTATTGACCATCTAGAACTGTAATCATAATATTCAGCAGTCGCGTAAAATAACGGCGTGAATTTGATAATTTGAAGTATCTTCAAAATTTAATGAAAATTTCGACACTTAAAAATGTAGTGAAAGTTTTTTACCTTGTTTTTTTAACCTTAAATAAAGAGCTAACCTAAAAAAATTGATAAATGATGAAAAAATCGTTTTTCAAGTTAGACTGATATTCTATTCTTATACTCGTTCGACTGTCAATACTCATTGTTTGCGATGATAGGGAGAGTTTTAACTATTTTGAAATAGTTATCTTGATAAGAATTGGGAAATACTGAACCAAGTAGAAATAATAATTTTATTTACTAAAAGCCTGGGTCACAAAATTTTCCTTTATGACAAACTAGGGAAGCTTTGGCAAGGCGAAAGTGACGCACATGCAAAGATAAAAACCCTCTCTCGTCTTTTTTTTTTTTCTCCTCCCGCTTCGCCCTCATTTATCCTGATTGGATGATAAGAAACGGAATGAAGATATAAATTTCATTAAGGTATAGATGCCGCGTGATAACAGCGCACGAAACCTTCAAGAAAATCAATCTTTGTATGATCGAATTCTGAAAGACGTGCCACACATTAATTTTAAAGGCCCAAGATTGGGATAATGAGGACCTCGTATACTAAAAACGAGCTCAAGAGCTTCAGCGGGATGGTACATAAAATAAAACAACTTTTCTTTCTCTCTCTTATGTAAGACCCTCAAACGTACTAAAAAGGATAGCACTTCGAGATGAATATTATCAAAACTCAGCGGTGCACATCTATCTGGCATTAGGCGAAAGTTCGATCAGAGAAATTTGACCAATCATGGCGCTGCGCTACAATAAAGGTGGTTATCTTTAACGTTAAAAAAACACCTGATTGACAGGTTGGCTACGCTTGCTTAGAAAAGAAAGATAGAATGAAGCAATTGGATAATAAATAACGTATTACACGTTTCGGTGTGTAGTATCACTGAGTACTTTTACCTTTATGTATTTTAATTAGCCCGCAGGGCTCGTCAAAATACGACATCACTCGTGAAAATACTCATCGATACTACACGCCAAAATGTCTAATGTTACATAGGTATTCACGTGCGGCATGCCTTGTCTGATTAATCAACCAATCATGTTCAAAGACCTTCAACTTGACATTGATAGAGACGTGGACACACGTTTTTTAAGTTAAGTAACAGTTTAGAGCTTTTTATTGTCTCAAATGTTTCGCTTGTTTTTATTTGGAGTTCAAGACCTTTTTGGGCGTCATTAACAGCCAAAGGCTGAATTTACCACACCTGCATGAAAGACTGGACTCTAATTTCTTCATGGGAGAGGGATGTTTAAATATCTATCTATATATATAATAATAATAAGATAATATGTATTTTTATTTTCTGCGGAATCCGTAAGAATCAATAAACTCCCTCGGGGCTAGTTTGAATGTTTTCATTTTCACGATTAATTTTATTCTTATCTAGATCAAGTTATTCATGCGAAAGAAGACAATTAAAAGACTTGGGTTATATCCTACAACAATACTCTTCCAGATCGATCCTTCGTTTTCTCGATGCTTTGAAAAATATTTATACGTATATCTTAGCGGGATCCATGAAAGTTTCACCCATCCAGAGCTTTATCTAATTTACGTGCAGTTTATCATGGTCCCATGCCAAATCAATGCCTCTCAGACTTACACTCATATAATGCCATTAGCTTGAGAGTCTTCCTAACAATAGAGAGAGCAACACCTATATGCACCAGTTGTCGTGATAGGCAAGTTCGCTCACCGAGATGGTAGTTCCTTTATAAAAACCATGATTTTAAGTAAAAAAAAAAAAATCCTTGATTTTATGCCACGTTTTCACTGCCTAAAATCTTTATTTGCTTAGGTGTGTTTATCACCTCGAGCTTCTCTGTAAATCGCTCTCTGAATTAGCGCACCGCTAAGGATCATCAACAAACGATGGTTGAATGAGCAGCACTTTGTCAACAAGAACAACGTTTCACTCTCGAGTCTCGTATTTATTACGTTGTGCTTGTCTTGAGATCAATACCTAGATTTATCAGTGGCATACACGAAAAACGTTTGTCCAGGTATTCAAGGTAAAAGCCTAAACTAAAAAAAAAAAAAAAAAGACCCTTTTAATTGCTTCTAATGAGGTCTTAAAATAAACTCTTGCCTTGCTGACTATGCTCGAATTTTCGATAGTAGTTCACTGGAATGCATGCCCAGCTTCCTGTATATATATAAAAAAAGTGACCGCAGACAAATATAGGCTTGAAAATTATTGCTTTTCCATGATGAATCGTGGTTTTGCTATCTTGTTGATCTGCCTAAAGAGATGACGACTGCTTCCGAGTCAGGTGAACTTGACAAATACGTGGATCCTGCGCCCGTGGGTTCGTTTCATTCCTTCAAGCTTCTTTGAATCTTTTGCTCCGCAGACTTCGACTAGTTTTTACTGATAATCGTAAAATTTTGAGCAAAAAATGTAAATAGCTGGTCTTCTTCTGACACTGAGAGTTTTGTCGGCGTTAAAATATACTACAGGCATGATTTACTTAACTGCAGCAACGCACTGATGATACAAAGATCAGTCTGGCAATCAAAATATGTAATGCCCCAAGACAAGACTTTCAACCTGCCTTCCATACAGTTTACAGAGCCCCTTGTAAGAGGTGGCCCTTCGAACATCAATGGCGATTTAAACATTAAAGAAAGGCAGAATATACAATGACAGAACAAGAGCGCATCTACCATCTACCACCTCCAAACATACATAGGTCCTATCTAACCAAGAACCTCAAAAAGTTAGGTGAAATATCAAAAACACTTCTCACTCATTTCGTATCTTTTCACAAAATCAGTCCCGATAATAATAACGCTAACCTGCTTTAAAAACAACTCTTTCATTAAGTTATCAGAAAATGGCGATCACTTGACAGGTATGATAGATGAAAGGATGATAAATCCACAACCAAGGACGGACCTTTTTCGTTAATGAACGGTGTAGAACATCGGGTGAAAGTTTCGATCCTTGTCTGGTAGGGTCTCGTACCATTTCAAACACTATCTAAAACTGGTAAGTGTGTCCACTGAAAAACTCACTCTTCTGTTCTTTAGCCCCTCTGTTTTAGAACCTTGCATGGAGGAAAGAGATCTTTGTTTTACCATGAAGTGAGTTGGATTTTGGTGTGTCGTTGCCAAAGATGTTTTTTCCGTACCCACGAGAGTTCTCTCTGATGGCGAAGAATATGAACGGTTTTTTCTACGCTGTGACGACGAACCAGGGTCCGTAATTTCGAGTTGTTCCGCCTCTGTTGGCTTGGCATCATGTATCCGTTTCAGGTTGTGATATATAACCGCAAAAGACTTGTCAATTTGCTTCTGGTATTTGGGATTAGTTTTGATTTCTTCTGTCGGCATTGCTCACAGGGAGACAGAATCGAATATTTCCTGATCATAGCACGCCAAAGAGCCTATAGCAATAGACGTCTTGGAATAATTCTCATGGATGTTCCAGTACTTACTCATGGGTGACAAATAATATTCACAGACACATTAAATTATAGCCTCAGAACAGCTAAATAAATTATACCACTTAGCCTTGTCATAGCGGAGCCATTTAATTGTCTTTAAAGCACCGCCTTTCTTTTACTACTAATGTCAGGAAGTCCGGCCAAATTTCTATATCTGTTATCTCACAATACAGCTGCACTTCGGCTAGCTAGATATTAAGGCGTCATTACAGCAAAAAATGCTGGGACGCAACCGGCTAATGAGTCATACATAACGAAGTTTTGAATCTTGAAATGTACCGAGAATAAATAAACCAAACAAGAGCTACATGTTCAGAAGATCTAAATTGTTCCATGTTTTTATTTTGCCTACATCTTTATCTTATCTATTTTAACCTGCTTCTAGGGTAGCCTACGTTTCTAGGAACTCTGTGGTTGTGCTGTAGGCTCTTTTCTCTGCAACGATTGAACTTGGGGCTACTCTTTTGCCTTAACAACTCACACAGAGTTGTTCAGGCAAAAGAGTCATTGGGGGCTGGAGGGGGTAATAATTTGTGTCACTGTCATGTCAACTATATTAGCAGCTGTGGAGGAGACTGGAGAGAAGTCGGGACTAACGACATCGCAGAAGTCTTACCAACGCACGTCTAAAATCAGTTCTGTAAAACGAGTATACGAACGGATTAATGGCTGACTGAACAAACAGGAAAAACAGGCTTAGTTCCCTCAACAACGGCCCTTCTTTGCCAAACAGCCTGAAAGTATTATACAATCCCCTGGGAAACCAACACATCACAAAAATAAACACCACAAGAACACAAGCCGTTGTTCCCTTTCTTCCCGCCTGACGCGATGTTTTCCGTCTGTGCTTATTGCTTGCATTGTTGCTACTTGAGCAAGTTTCTGTTACGCTTGCTTTGTCCATTGTGTTCACTCGACGATGCTGTTTTCTGATTTCCAATACAATCCTGAGGTTCGCAACTAATAGTACAGCAACAGGTAGAGTAACCAGCGAGAACATAAGACACGTGTTAAAGATACGGTCCGCGTATAAAGCTTGATGCCGAGGTAGCTTGATCCACCAAACTAAACGGCTCAGTGTTAAAATCATGGGAAACGTCCATACTAATGAAAGAATTGAGATGACTTTCTTCAAGTTGATTTTTGCGTTGTACCTTAGAGGACTCATCACCGCTGTGTATCTGTCGTAGGTAATGGCGAGCAGATTGAGTTTCGTTGCCGAAAAAACAAAATATCTCACGGAACCGATTAGCCAGCAATATTCGCTGACTGGTTGGCTGCAACTTGTACAAAAGATCACCTCACCCGGCATCACAAACACAGCCATTAAAATATCCGCAACAGCCAAACTTACGAGGAAAGTGTTCATAAAACAGCTTCTGAAATGGCTGTTTCTCAGGAGAATAAGACAAGTTACTCCATTGCCGATTATAATTACGCCTGATAATAATCCGTCTAACACTAAAAAGATCATGTCCAACCATTCATCGCATCCTGATTTTGACGCTGATGAATTTAGAGCTAAAGTTAGACTCGAGTTCTCCATTTAGGAAGATAGCAATGTATTGTGGCAACCTCACGTAACTACAGAGGTTTTCCTCCGTTCCTTATCTTTATGCTTTGTCGGAATAAGTTTATCAGATAAACTTTTTTGCTGACGGCCAGCTGCGAAGCCTATGTTTTTAAGTTTTTATTTAAAGCCCTAGAAGGATGTGTTAGTGTTGTGGGGGGGGGGGGGGGGGGGGGGGGGGGGGGGGGGGAGGAAGAGGAGGAGGATAGAGGAAAGTTTCTTAATTTTTTCTCTTTTTAATATAAATACCGAAAGCTTTTTACCTTTTCTGAAAAGAGGTTTGCATTTTAAAAATCTGTAATTGAGCTGGGCATGACTTTCAGACGAAATAATTCATTTATTTACCATGAAAATCAAGAAAACGGAGGTTCTGCTTGTCGACATTCACACCACTCCTCCACTTCGAATTAACTTACGCTCCCCCGGCGCCAGTTACTTTATTTCATTTAACAAACGTGTAAATGACAAAAGAGTGATGTTTTCTCCACCAAACCTTTCAAGTTGACTAATTGGTAATTTCTCTCACTGAGTACCTCGGCCTTCAAACGGAGAGATCGCAATTTCCTCTCTTAGCAGGAAATTGATTTTCATTTGGAGGGAAATTGTTTTTTTTTGCTCTACCTACTCAGCACAATCAGAATTTGTTTTCACTAAAATTAATTGCAACGGTGTTCACGTAATGGCGATGGAAAAGGTGTGCAAGAGAAAAGCAGAATAGGATCATCTTAACTATTATTATTCCACGAAAACCCCCTTCTAATATAAAGCTGCTATCTTTGTTCCGTCGATCAATATGCAATATTTTGACAGGTTTTCCAACTCTGTTTTCCATTAGAACTCCAGCGTGCCTTTAATAAAATGTTTTCCAATTATTCTATCTTATTCACATACTATGCCTTCAAAAACTTCATTTTTCATTTATTTATAGATACTATTGCGAGAAATTCTGTATTTAATTCCTCTAAAAACGAAAATCAATATGCGAGATTATTATGTCTGCTGATCAAAAAAAAGATTTTTGTTGCACCATCAAATCCAAATGTAATCGGAGATGTCAGTTGCACAGTTTGCCCACCAACTGCGATTCTCATAAAATTATTTTTTCGAACTTTCAGACGGCAGGAAACGTATTTGTTGGATTAAGAATAGATAAGGTTCAGAATAACTCTGAGAATCATAAAGGCCGTGGTCTGTGTCTTCTCCGAAAGCCGCAAAAAAAGGTAAAACAAACCAAGGCCTAGAAGATTCTCGTACGCGTGCAACAACTGTGCTGGATAAAACGTTTTATTTCGCCGACAGAGAGTTAAGGATGAGAGTTTCCTTTAAAAAAAAAAGAAAAAAAAACATTCTGATAAAATTAAGATTATCACTGACAATAATACATTTCAAGTAATCGTTAGACGGCAAAGTTGAAATTTATTAAAACTAACAAAGAAAGACAGATTGAAATTTAGAAATAAAGAGGCTGAGCACTCTTTTATTTAAAATATTAATTCAAAGCAAACGATCCCTTTGAGCTCTAAGAATTGAAAACTGTTTTTACGTAATTCGGCCTTAGAGTGCGCCACTTGCAATAAACCTTTGGTCTCTAATTGCGTAACGAAACCACGCTAAAGACGAACAGCTGTGTGCTTTTAGCCGGCCAATCAGAAAAGAAATAGTGACACCGATAGTTTAAGACAAAAGTGACTGGCACTTTCAGAAACCAGCTCGGAACAAAACAGTGACCCATGCGGTTATTTATAATCAAACTCCAACCGTGGTAGGTCTTAGAAAATATTCGCTACTTCCAGAGCAAAAACACTTTTAAAATGCTCTCCTACGAAGAAATCGAAGCTGTTAGCGTAAAAATCGGTAAGTATTTTAAGGTCATACATGAAAGTACCATCAAAACGCACGCTCTGCGATGAAACCGAGGGACAAGTTAATAGCAAAACTTTGAAAATAACTCTTCATACTATTTTTGAACGAAAAAATACGACGTTTTGTTTGGTGCGATAAATACATGTTCCAATTCGAAAACCAAACTACGAACGGAACCATACTTTTAACAATTAAAAAAAAATCTCTTGATATAATAAAGTACTGAACAAATATCTGGGCATTTCTTCCAATTGCTGTTTGAATTTGGGCAAATAAAACTTTGTTTGACGATAAATTTATGCGAGTTTTTGGTAGATTAAATCATTCTTTGAAGAAACAGCAGCCGTAGCTACTCTAACCCTAAACAATAAATTATTATCTGAACTACAACTATTATTATGGGTTGCCAAACCACTAGATATCGGATCCAGTCCAACAGCTGTCCAAATAGGACGTGAGGGCGCTCCCACCTAGGGATTGGTCAAGGAAAAGACATTGAATCGTTGGCAGAGAGAAAGAAATGCGTGGGAAGGGGCTATTTGTTGACGAAGTCAGGCCTCCATGGCTCGGCTGATTCGACGTTGCCAGGTGTCATGATAATGGATGTTTGGGGAACTCGCGACGTCTCACGACGTCTCGCGATTGAATGATAACCAATTTAAATTTATTTTCCCAAGACAACGCATGAGATGCTGTCTGAGGCTGTTTATGAAATACTATTCGTTTTAGCACGAGTGTGGGACAAAAAAAAAATCTGAGCTCCTCACAAGCAGTCGCTCCCAGACTTGCGGATTTCGCAAGACCGATGCTCTACCACAGAAGGAGAGAGAACTCGTGAGCGAACTGAGGCCTACCCTAGATTCACCTGTGGCAAGCGTCCTGCGCATTGTTAGGATCAGCAATGACAACAGCGTCATGCGAATAAATAGCAAACGAATGATGATAAATTTCGAGCTGGGTCCTCAGTTACTCATTGTTTGTGGGGGCATTATTGTGCATGATACCATTTGCTAACTCAACAAATTCGCCCACTAATTTCGTGCCAATAATTTAATCGAGTTGCATGCACTACGGACATGAGATGTAATCTGATTCGACTTCCGCCAAGAGGGCAACAAACATATGAAGGGATTGCAGAGGCCAACCTGCCCGATCAAGGAAATGCATTACGAGAAATGAGCAAGGGAAACTTAAATCAATCAATGGTTGTAGAATGCTAGTCAAGTCTGATCGTCTATTCCTTCCGTGTTAAACCACCCAGTTAAAAAAAAAAACAACAACAACAAATGACAATTTAAAAAAGGATACGGGTTGCAGAACATTCTCTTGAGGTCCACTTTCTCTTTACAATACGGACAGGTTTGTTTCTTTCCAACAATACACCAGCCTCGAATACAGAACTCGTGAAATCTGAATCGTGTTTGGTTAAGAATCAGGACCAATGCATAAATTTGTCGGATACGAAGTTTGACTTGTTGTAAACTGAACTAACAACCGACAAATTCATTTATTAAGATTATCCTTTAAAATTTTTGCAAAGAAAGCACGCGACTGAAAAAAATAAAGAAAAACAAAAACACCACACAATACTGATGGTCTTAAAATCGGCAAAATTCAGTCTAACCAGTCTGAGAGCTTGGGTCACTACTCTCACCTGGGAATTACGCGCGGCTCGATTCGAAGTTTCAACATCACTCCCGCCCCGCCCCCTTACACACCCACGGTTATTTGCTAGAGTGGAGAATTTGAACCGGATGTGGTGAGTCATTCCTGCGGAATGTAAGTGTTATATATTTAAATGTACGTGTTTCGCGAGCGAACGGCTCAGAAGAAAAGGTCTACAAGATCTAGGTTTTAAAGATTGGTCAATCTGCAGAAAGTCACAGTCGCTGATTTTGCCTTTTAAAAAAGAACAGGGCGGGGCATTTGAAGTTAATTTTTGCCCGAGGGGGTGGAAATTTGAACAAGCCAATCTTAAACAGTTCAATACCCAAGCGGTTGCGCGGGGGGGGGGGGGGGGGGGGTATGTTGAAGCTTCGAACTGATCGGCGTATTGCATCAAACAGCATCATAAGATTTTATAATACAATCGGTAAGGATACAAATGACCACATGTAAGTTTATAAGTTTTCTCAGGCCCATCGTCCTCATCCTCATCACTACGCAACACAAGCTCCTGGCCACACACTGCACAAATATTAGTCTCCAGACTTCTGCTTGGAAGGCCACCTTTACTTGTGTACTAAACAAACCACAAAGCGAGATATATCAAATACATAAATTTATCCTATGTTTATATCATATTCCCTAGTTTGTGATCAAATGGCAAGTGCATACTGTACTTGCTGATACAGCTAATGTACATGTATCTACAAAAAAACCTCCTCTTCAGTATCATAAAATTTAAAAAAGGACAGTTACTGTCCATCTACCGCCACTAATAAGACCTCTTCCTACTGTCTGTTTAGCCTGTGAGTAAGCTTGTTTTTCTTTTACCTGCGCGACACAATTCTCCGAAGAGGAGGGACTGTATGTACAAGGGTATGTAGTCTAGCTGACAGCATACCACAACAAGAAATTAGGATCTAAAAAAAAGGTAAAATAATCATAGCCTCAAACTTACTCCTAGTTTTGATGCAATTTTATCAGCACAAATCTCCGCAAAATCTCTGCCAAGAACTCCAAAATAAAGTCCATAGAATAACACTGTCACTCCAAACTCCATCGCTGTATCAGGTTTAATTGCAAACATCAGATTCATTCCTAGCATGGTCATACAAACAATCACGTAGCCTAATATTCCCAGGCCATAGGTTACTTTGTGTACAAATAAAAACCACTTGTAAACTAGTCTGTAGAGAAAAACAGATCATATTTGAATGTTACATTCAATAAAAACTAGTTACAAGCCATTTAGCCCTTTCACCCCTAAGAGTGACTAACATCTAATTTCTCCATGCAGTAACTCCCCTGAATCAAACATTAAGGTCATGAGAATAAAGGAGATGATCACCAACTAAAGAAGCTCTTGATTGTTGAACAAATTCTCCTTGTAAGAACCTAGGAAATGTCTAGGGAGTGGTATGGAGAATATGCATACTGATGTTATGGAGTAAAGTGTTAACACTGTCTGTTTAGCCTGCAAGCAGGTTCTCTATACCCCTTTGTAAAACTTAGTCATGTAAATATTTGGCCTTTTCATGCATCACAAATAATATCAAAAATTCTTTCATGTTCACGTGAAATTTGAGACCTTCCACAAAACAATAAAAAATCAAATTCATGAATTTAATTTTAACTTTGTCTGTTCTTGACCAGTCTTATCTTATTTGTTCAAGGACACTTAGTGGTCTGTTTTATGACTTCTATCATATGAAGTTCATGTCCAGTCAAAACCCTGACTAAAACCTAATTCAACCTTTGTTTGCACTCTTAACATTTTTCTTTACTTACCTAGGGGTACTTGGTGCTACTGGTTTTCGTGTGGACTTGAAAACAATAAATCCAGTTAAAACTGAGAATAAAGCCCATGCGCACAACATGCGCCAGAACTTGAGTTGTACATTGAAGTAAAGAGGAATTAACCACATGCCAACAAGGGTCACAGTCTTGAATAAGAAAGAAAACAAAAATGTTGTAATCAATTATTATTTGGAGAAGATGACTATTGGTATTTCTACATAATATGTCTCAATAAATAAAAACATTTTACTCTAGGCTATTTCATTTCAGATAGTTTTGTGACAGTGTACATTTATCAACAAAAAAACTGATATTAATCACAATCATTTAAAGCTCTTAACTATTAAGGTTGAGATGCACTGGATGAAATTTCTGTGCAACACTTCCAAATAGTTTCTTAAATTTACATTTTCAAAAAAAAAATTGACTTCTAGATTGCAAGAGTAGTTTCTACAGCAGTTCAGAAAATAATTGAGATGTTACAAGTGCCCTGCTGGGTCAAAATCTGCACTGTCCCTCTGTAAACCCATACATGTAGCCATTCAATAAAAGCAATAGACTGCACTTCCTATACGCTTAGGGGTGTAATTACCCACTTAAGATGTTGGCAAAACATGAGAAAAGTTTGTAAACCACTCACCTGCGGTAGCTCATTTACAAACTTTTTGCCTGTTCTTCCAACATCTCATGGTTTATTACACTGTTAAACTGACAGAAAAAATGTGCTTTATTGCTTAAATAAACCACTTTGGTCTTAAAAGACTTAAAGACTTGGACTGTATACATGTTGGCCAGACGAGACTTGCCCACAGCAATTCATGTTGCATTCACATGTGGATATTATGCTAAAGTAAAAACAAAAAACTCTTAAAATCAAGTTTTGATTCAAATTGATTATTCACCATGAATGACTTGTAGTAGTGTTTTTTCCATTTTACCAGAAGAACCTGTGCAACTATTAGAGTAGAAAATAAAATAAGAACCATCTCCATGTGCATAGCTTCATGTCCTTTGTGTTTAGCATGTAACTTTTCATGCTCTATCCTGTAAAACATAAAACAAAAGATGATTTAATTTACAATTGGACATAATTATGATTTAACACAAAAACTGTCTTATAGTCTGTGTAAGAATTGGATTTTATAACAATTATTTTGAACCTTAGGAATTTGTCAGGAAGAGGGCATTGTCTTGATAAACATGTAATTGTCTAGAAGTGTATGGCAACTGTTGGGAAGAGTTGATAATCAAATTTTGTTAGTTTGGTATCCACATACAGTGTACTTTCCAGACATAAGGAAAAGTGCTTGCATGTTTCACTCCTGTTCCCTTACATGAACACTGTACATGCATTCTCCCCACTTCATATGGTTCAAAACCTTTTGAAATCCCTTGTGCATGAAAAGATGGTCTTACTCTAAAGCTGATTTAATTCCTACCTACCGGCAGTCTGACTTCTGATTAAGAATTCTGTCTTTTATGACCACCCTAAAAAACTTACCAATTTTTTAACTCAGGTAATTAAAAGGCTATTCTTGCATGAATTCAAAAGCCTTGTGCAATATGCTGCTACATGTAAGAAATCAAGGAAAGTCTACCTCCATAATTCCTCTTTGCTGAGTGGTTTTGCATTTGGAATAGACCCATTACTTTCAACCTGAAATAAATTTTTGTACAATTAATCTGATTGCAAATAGATTCCAATCTATAAGTTGCAACCCATTTCTTTTGTGATAGATAGCAGATGAGGTCAAAATGTGATAGGAAAAAAAATGTAGCACACGATGTACAGCTAAGTGTATCACTGATGTCCTGGTTCACATCTTAACTATATACTACAAATAGCACCAAACCTAATAGCAGTAGCTCACAAGCTAACAATGGCCTACAATGAGAGGCAAAAGTCTAAGCACACCCCACTACAGTACTTTTAATTCTTTTTTATAACCCTTACTTCTCTTCCCCATTACCTGATGTCAACAAAAGATCTACTATTTATTAACATTGTTTGGGGGAATTTTCAATTACCGTAAAAACCCGCAGATAAGCCACACCCTGAATTTAGCAGCTAAATTTTGAACAAAAAAGTTTTTTGAAAGAAATCAAAAGAAATCCAAAGTCAAGTATTGAGAAGTCTTCTTCATCCACTGTTCATCGAACGTAAACTCACTATTAACATTGCAATGGAAAATACTTCAAATTCTTACCCACAATTTTAGCATTTTAATATAATGAACATCATTTCTTCCAACTTTGACATATGACTGATCTTTTTCTGGTATTTGTTGATAGGAATTTCATTCATCGCAGTTTTTACATAGATTTTTGCATTAAAACAAGAACATGAGCTGAACATTTGAAGCTTAGTAACCAGGCATTAGATTGGATGACATTCACGACACCTTTTTCAAATGTTCCCATAGATAAGCTGCACCCCTAATTTCTAGCAATGATTTTTGGAAAAAAGGTGTGGCTTATCTACAGGTTTGTATGGTAACTTACAAGAGAAAATGTGAACTACAAGATTCCTATTAATTGTATTAGGTGGAGGGTTGTCAATCACCCACTAACAAGAACCATGACAACTACTTTTGCCTTATTGTAGTTCCACACAGAGTTCTCTGTAGCTCAGTACTTAAGAGCATCGCAGTCTGAAATGCAAGGTTCTGTGGTTGGATTCTTCATATGGATGAGTAAATCTGGGTTCCCTCCAAAATATAAGATCCCAGATCTAATCAGTTCTGCACTCTGACACTCTACAACTGAGCTACAAATTCTGCATCATGATGTTTCACCCTTTATAAGTTATAACTACTCTGTGTTTCACACTTAACTGCAGATCCTTAATACTCAACCCTTTAACTCTCACGAGTGACCAAGACAGAATTTCTCCTCACAATTATCAATACACTATCAACCAAATAGCAGATAAGAATAAAGAAATATCAATTTGGGGATAATTGATTGATCCAATACTAAATTCTCTGAACTAAGATTACAAGAATTGTATGGTTGACAGTAAAGAAAATTACAAATTTGGTCTGGGAGTTAAGGGGTTAATTTACATGTAATATGAAATATAAATTTATACATGTATATAATGCATACATAAATATATATTAGCTGTCTACACTATTTGGTCTCAAAATTGTTAAACAATCAATTAAAAAACATCTCAAATGACACAAAATTATCTGCAATAGTCTTAGTCTGTTTCCCAATCTAGTTGTTCTAGTGTGTGCCTGCCCCTCCTACTCCCAATAAAATGTCGACTTCCCTCAATCTAAATTTGCAGCTGGAATTCTACACTCTCTGGAGAGAAGCTAGGGCAGCCCTTCTAAAATAAAATAAAGGACTTCTTACACCAAAATAATATGCCAAGGGACCTTATTTCAATCAGCATTCAAAGTGCTTTTGCTAGTGAGTGCAAATTGCAAAATTAAATAAGTCACATCTAGCTACTTTCAAGTATAATCGCTGAGTCTGAAATATGACAAAAAAAATCCAAGATTCGGTGGTAATTAAGGTCTGTGACTTTAGAGAATGAGGAATAATTTTTCGAGAAAAGTCCTGTCCACGATTTTATAGAAGCGGCCTTGTTCATCGTACTTTCTTAAGTACAGTGACCGTAATAATCTTCATAAATTATGGTAAATATACAAAGTAGGTTACTCTAAGGGACATGAAGGAGCGTCTTTAAACTCTTTTGATTTTTAAATAACTCAGACTTATTAAATCCCAGCTTTAAATACTCAAAGAAACTCGATCGCTTCCAATAAATATCTATTCCAAAGCGACCAGCATTTATTTAAGAGTTTTACACTGATTAATAAGACTAAAAACTGACGTAATTGGTTTGTGCTGTTGATCGAAATAAGCGTATGCAAGTTGATAGAGCGTAAGTCCAGTAACAAGCAAGCAGCTCAGTTTTGTTCTTGATAAGAAAGTCACTAACCGCTATCTCTTTGACAACATCTTCTTCCGCCATCTTGCTTATGAACGTGGCTGTTCGTAGTGGGTGGAAAACTGGGTCGAGGACAAAGGTTATTTTCAAAAGGCGACTTTGAAATATTTAAAATAACGGTAAAGAGAAAACGCTATACTATCCTACAGCTAAGAAGTAGAATTACTCTTTTTCTGACGGATAAAGTTACGGGAAAAATAACCCCTGATGCATGTTTGTGTAGATCTCAAGACTTAACCGTAGAGCAGGCTTGGTCACTCAATCAATCGACTTGCTCAGTGTCCCGAAGCACTACGGGTAATAAATCAGCCATCGATGCAGTCGCCATTTTGGTTCGTTCCACGAGGCCGGCCAGCAAATCTGACCTTTCGGTGGTAGAGGCCTGTCCTTGAGTAGTCCACCATCATGCCGACTACCCTACCACCCAAAGAGAACGCTCTGTTCAAAAGAATACTGGTAAGTTTTCGTTAAGGCTTCTAATAGCATTGGTACTCCGAGAGATCGCTTCTTATGACTGGAGCACGCCTTGTCGATTTCACGGCGCGTGTTCACTTCCTCGTTACGGTTTTTTTGCAGAAATGCTACGAACACAAGCAGTACAAAAATGGGCTGAAATTCGCCAAGCAGATCCTTTCCAATCCGAAGTTCTCGGAACACGGAGGTTTGTGAATTGTTTACGTTTGATCCGCATGTAAATCGATTTGTACAACCTGTGTACGTATTACTTAGTGGTCATTGATAAGCTGACATTAAAACGTTATCTGCACTCTGTCGACTTCTTTAGATCGTTGACTGTGCGTTTTACGTGGTCTTTAACTTAGAATTTCTTTTATTGGTAATGCAGAAACGTTGGCAATGAAAGGCTTGACTCTCAACTGCTTGGGGAGAAAGGAGGAAGCTTATGAATTTGTTCGACGAGGTTTGCGAAATGACCTTAAGAGTCATGTGTGTATCCTTGTCAGGTTTTGAAATTACATGTGAAAATTGTTACATTAACTTCATCGTGAAAAAAGCCGCAAAGATAGTTACTTGGTAAAAGACCAATTAGATCGCATAGTTTACTCGCGTGTTTGTTTTTTGAGCTTCAGGTGTCCTTGAGCCAATTACATGAGTCATGTGACACACTCCAAAGTAACAGGGTTACATTTTAGCGTCTTGTTTCACCTTTTCACACAACTTGTTGTTGCTTCATGTATGATTTTCTACCTTGAGGGTTTCATTTGAATTGTGAAAACATGGCTATTTTTGCAGTTTTATTCATAACCGTTTTTTCAGTTTCATTGATGCAAATGTTGTGCACATTTTCGAATTTATTGCCAAAAAGTCATTTCTTTCATTATACATGGTCTATACCAGTGATGGCAGCCAAAGGTAGATTTTATCTTGCAAATATCCACTTTTGAGTAATGAAGCAAAATGGTTCAGAACAGTCAGGGCACAAGTCTTCTAAAATTATATCTGAATTATTGCCAATAAGTTGGAATCTTCATTGCTGGCAACTAGATTGCTGTGACTTAATGCCAACAGGCAAGTAGAATAGAAAAAAAAAACCCAAAGAAATTAAAGGAAGTCTTTTTTTTTCTTGTTAAATAGTGGCTAGTGTTGTAGACAAAAACAATTTATTCAGGCGCTGTTCATACTGCATATTAAGGAGTTAACAGTCTTCCTTTTCTTAAATTATGTAAAGACTTCAGAGGGAATATGTAATACCCATAAGAATAGAATTCCAAGTACCTTGAATTATTCTAAATACTGAGTGATAAGATCATTAATGTCCAAACTATTTGAATATATTTTTGTTTCTTTCCACATCCTCACTCTCTTATTCCTTTTCACCAATTCACTCAAGTTTGATACAGACCTGGACTATGCACTCATGGCTGGAAAGCCACATGGGTGATATCTCTCTAAGGGCTGACTAGTCACAGTGAAAGTCTTGGAAACTAATTTCCAGTTATCTCTCTTGTGTGCAACTAAAGCAGCCAGCTTAATATGGATCATTTTATAGATAGACATGTGTCAGGACTTGTGCATTTGTACATGTAAGAGTTACAGTTTCTTGCTGTGTTTTGTCACTTTTACCTTGACTGTGAGATAGGTTGGCATGTTTATGGACTGTTACAAAGATCTGATAAAAAATATGATGAAGCAATCAAGTGTTACAGGAATGCACTGAAATGGGATAAGGTTGGTTATCAGGCTAATAGAAACTGGTTGGATTTTATGTATAATTTTTTCCTTTCACTTTGCTAAGCATATGTACAACTTTATTTTATTATTATTTTTTTTTTTTCTTGGGTGTTGGGGGTATCTATGCACATATCTTTACTGTGCAATGTTCCATTTTTCAGATATGGAATTTTCTCCAGGATGAAATTTATTGCTTAAACAATTTAAATTTGTGCCAGTAATAACACATTTACATGTGCTTGTATAACCAGATCTTTTGTGTTCTTTTAGGAAAATATCCAAATATTGAGAGATCTGTCACTATTGCAGATTCAGATGCGGGATTTGGAGGGTTACAGGGTACTGTATGAATATCAAATTTCCAAAGCTTATAACTTTGTTTAAACTTACACATAACTTAAGAGTGCTCTTTACCTTTACCAACGTACTTGCTGAATGGTCTTGTCAGCCATGAGTCTCCTAAAGATTAGTGGAGAACATCTGAAATATCACTCAGAAGGTCATTAAGAATTTGCAGTTCTTTTTCTTTTAAGTATGCTTGTGTCATTTACTTCATAAAGTCTTCTTTCACTGAAACTTGTTTGTATTGCTAATTTTGATTTGAACATAAACAATATGTTTGATTCAATTAACACTTCAGTTTTAACGAACACTTTGGAGCTTTGACAAATTTTCTTATTTCCTTTTTCATTAGTATGAAAATACTTGTAAAGGTTGAAGATCCTCAGTCATTTTCTGTGTACCTGTTTTACACATGGTGTAAATTTCCAGTGAATAGTTCTGTATACTTGTTTATTGGCATAACTTAATTGATTGTTTTTATAATTGTTTAAATTCTCATATTCCTGTTTTTAATTCATTTTTGTTTTGTTTTAGTGTATTTGTTTTGTTTTAGCTTTTGTTATGGGTTTTTGTTTTTGTGGTTGTTGATTAATATTTGTTTGCTTGTTTGTTTGTTTTTTTTTTTATTTATTAAATATTTGCTGCAGGAAACTAGATACCAGTTGCTGAAACTCAGGCCAGGACAGAGGGCTTCTTGGATTGGATATGCTATCTCCTACCATTTGCTGAAAGATTATGACATGGCATTCACGATTCTGGATGAGTTTCGCAAAACTCAAAATGTAAGGATTCTCTTTCAGTGTTTTTTTCTTCAGTTCAATCTCTTGTACATTTGTACATCAATACACCTTACAAGTATCCAGGAGCCATATGCTTAGAAGTAATTATTGACCTGAAAAATGCCTTACCATAAAAAAATAGGTTATTTGCAAGATTGCTTATTATGGAATGGTAACAGTCAACCCTTTCACTCCCACAAGTGACCAAGACATAATTTCTCCTTACAATATTAATACAATATCAAGCAGGCAGGTGATGAGAATAGAGAAGAATGTTGATCATGGGATCATTAGTTGATCCAATACCAAATTCTCTGAACTAACATCATGAGAATTGTATGGCAGATGGTAAGGAGAATTACTAATCAGATCTTGGGAGTGAAAGGGTTAACCCTTGCCCCCTAAGAATGACTAGCATCCAAGTTCTTCTCACAATATCACCTCTGAATCAAACATTGAGGTTATGAGAATAAAGGAAATGATCACCAACTGAATAAGCTCTTGATCATAATACAAATTCTCCTTATCAGCACCTTTGGAATTGTATAGGGAATATGCATACTGATGTTAGGTTGTAGGGGTTTAATGGTATAATTGTGCATTTACATTAGATTTCCTCCCCAAAGTATGACATTGAGCATGGTGAGCTGCTCTTGTATCAAAATATGGTGCTCAGAGAAGCTGGAAGACCTCAGAAGGCCTTGGATCAGTTGACAAGCTATGAACTACTGATGCATGATAAACTTGTGGTGCGAGAAATCAAAGGTACAGTGCTTACCTAACTTAACCCTTTAACTCCTGTGAGTGATCATGACAGAATTTCTCTTTACTTTATTGATATAATGTCATGCAAACAGGTGATAAGAATTAAGAAAAATATCAATTATCGCATCACTAATTGATCTGATACGGAATTCTCCAAATTAACATAATGAGAATCATTTGGCAGACAGCAAGGAGAATTACTAATGAGATCTCGGGAGTTAAAAGGTTAACTAGCTTGTATGCAACTGTCAGGTTGTCAAAATGTAAGAGGTTTAAATTTTGATATAAATCCAAGTGTTATTATGATTATTTTTTTTAATGTGGTTGTAATAGTTATTTTTAACTACATGTATTTTTGGGAGTTTGTATGACTTTGGCAATGTTGTTTGAAATATCTTTTGAAATATTGTTATTACTCTAAGTGATGTTTTTATCAGTGCTGACAAGTATTGCATCTTTATTAATACTAGTGAAACTGTTAGAAGGGAAGTTATTTGTATGTAAAGAGAACTTTGAAACTTTCAGTTTCAGCATATTATTTTGCCATGAATTTATTATAATGTTATTCAATGTACAAGAGTACAATTAATTGGCAAGGTATCATTAAAAACCGCAAGGCTTATTCTAATGAACCTTATCTTGAACTGATTTAAAAGCTATTCTTTAAGGATCAAGTACATAAAATAGTTATTTACACATACACAGACTTGATAAAGCAGGAAACTAAAGATTTAGCAGTTGATAAGAAAAGTTTCTAATTTATCTATAAACATAAAAAAGTTTAACTTTAATATAAGCCTCAAAAATGGTGCTGCAATGCCGAAAGCCTTAATTAATAAACTCAGTGCATGGCATTTCTTTAACAAGTTGGGAAGTTACTTGTGGTACAGGGCATTTAGTGATTGTGTCAAGGAAGCTAAAGTCACTCCACTATTGCATTACTCCAGGGTCTTTACTCCTTGAATTAAAGCAGTTCAAGGAGGCAGAGCGAATTTACAGAGACTTACTGCGGAGAAATCCAGAGAATAAGCATTACTACCAAGAACTGGAAAAAGCATTGCAGTTAGGTAAGTACAGATAGTTATGATAAATCTGGTTGTTTTGTTTTTGTTTGCTTTTTTGCAAAATTTGCCTCAGGTTTGAAGAGAATGTTTACAAAGGTTTTGAACTGTCTGTGAAACATTTTGTAAGGGTTACATGGGGCACTTCGATAGTCATAGTAATCAGACTGGAGTGATACAATGTTATCAGCGTTTTTGTTACTGAGTTAATGTTTTCACTATATTTGGAGGGAAGGGGGACTCACAAATTCTTGAAGAAGTGTGGAAGTATTAAATGTAAGTCTACTTCTAATTCTCTTGCATCAAAGAATAAACTAAGGTTTTTGTTTTTTTGTTTTATGTGTAGAAAACCCAGATGACCGATTTAACCTGTACATGAAGTACTCTGAGTTATATCCAAGAGCACAGGCCCCAAAGAGAATACCCCTTTCTTTTACATCAGGTATGGGATATGTGTATATGTGTATCATTCCCAGGAATATCATTCCCAGGAATAAGTCATTCATGCATGGTACTTTTGAGGCCTATTTTCAACCTCCCCTCAGTTGAACATACATTACAGGTACAGTAGAAGTAATTGGGCTGGCCAAGTGAAACAAAGTAAATGGACAATGTTTTCCTCGCAGTTGACTGGCACCTGAATATGGGTAATGTGATGTTTGGTAGGCAGTTGATTTTGTTGCATCTTGGTCTGTTCCTACCCACTTCATAGATTTTCAAGGTGCATCATCTTGTAATTGATAGCAATATTGTTTACAAACCTTGCCAACTGTGAAATGTTTGATTTTAAGATGTAGATTATGATCATCCATGATTTAGTTCACTTTGCAATCAAGATCGGCTTGAGGTTGTCAGTCTGACATACTGTAGTTTCACATACCAGTTATGTGTGAGAAATGTGACTAACCTTTGTTCTGCCTTTTTTTAGGAGAAACTTTTGCTCAATTGATAGACAACTACATGAGACCTGCAATTCACAAGGGAGTGCCACCTTTGTTTAACAACATCAGGACTTTATACACTGAAAAGGACAAGGTATTTGCGCCCAGAAGATTTTAAATAATTTTTGTATTGTTTGGAAAAAGTTTCATAATTTGCTGTAAAAAACACTGTCAGAAGCAATCAGTGACTTACCTAACAAAGTAAGAAGTGGAAAATCAAATGGATATGAAGCACGATGTATTTCTAGGATTTTCAACTAGAGACTGAATAAGCAATATAATTAAAGGAGAAGTAAATATGTTTTGTGGGTGAGACAGTGACTGGCTCACAACTGATGGGGAGATTAATTGAATGAATGATGTAATTGTACGACTTGCTGACTGACTGGTTGACTGAATTGTTAAGTGGTTGACTAACTAATCCACTGAATATTTGATTGGTTAGTTTATTGACTAAATTGACCAAGTTGATTTCAATAAAAAGCTTGCAATAATAAGTCTTCCACCATTCTTTACAGGTAAAGATAGTTGAAAATGTAGCCCTTGGGTATCTGGACAATCTCAATACGTTTGGAACATTGACAGGGAAAGGTAAGTGCTTTGTTATATTTTATTAAGGTAAAGATATGTAAATCCTGGAAAGCTCCTATCAAATGTAATTCATAGTACCACTTAATTGTAAGCTGACAGTCTCAGCTGGAAACTCAATCCTTGATTCTGAAAACTTTTGAGAATCAATTTTCAAGATCTTAGTGTCAAGTTTTGATTTTCATTCATTGAGGATTGAGTCTTGAGTATCAAGTTTCAATTTATGAGATGTACTACTGACAGTGTACATCATGGCTCCATTTGTTTTCCAGGTGGTGATCTTGAGCCTCCCACAGCAATCCTGTGGGTATACCACTTCCTAGCCCAGCATTTTGATTATCTACGGGACAGCAAGAAGGCTATGGAGTACATAGACAAAGCTCTGGAGCACACACCTACTCTAATTGAAGCATACATGGTCAAAGCCAGGATTTATAAGGTAATAAAAACTACTGTGATGGCTTAAGTCTCGGTATGAGTCATTTTTTCACTTGAAGATAATTTACATGGTAGCATGTGGAGCAGATCTGCAGGAGGCAAAATTTTACATACATTTGTATGTATGTAACATTTGTAACATGTTTATTAACTTTATATTATATATTAACTTATATTTTATTATTATAATTATATTATCATTATTATCTTATATTAACATTATATTAGATTATATTATTATATTCATCGTACTAACATTATATGTAACATTAACAACTGTATGCTGGGTTTAAACCAAAGGAAATGTTCACCAATGGGTTCTGGAGGGGGGGAGGAAAAGGTCAGAGCATCAATTTTTTTTACTTCAATCACTTCCCTTCCCAATCCCCCCACTCCCCTTTGTTACTGCCACCTTATGAGCATGAGTATGACTCATGGATTCCACTGCAAGAATGTCTCTCTTCTTACCATGGTTGGACTTACCTTGCTTCTTTTTTGAATGAGCTTTTTTGCATAGTCATTGGTCATTGCAAACGTTATTTCTTAGCATGGCGGAGACATGGAAAAAGCTGCACATTGTATGGACGAAGCACGCTCTCTTGACACTGCTGACAGATATGTCAATTGCAAATGTGCCAAGTACCAGCTGCGAGCCAATCAAGTTCAAAAAGCTGAGGAAACATGTGGATTGTTCACTAGGGTGAGTGTAAGCTTTCTAACCAAAAAAGTCCTTTTTTAAACCCATTAACTCCAAAGAGTCACTGGCCTTTGAATTCTTCTTACAGGATCACCCTTGAATAAAATGTAAAGGTTTCTCAAAGAGAGGAAAATGATCGCTAATTTAAGAAGTTCCTGATTGTCAACCAAATTCTCCTCATCAGTACCATGTACAGTAGAGAAAGCAGTGTGGCGAATATGAATGTTGATGTTTGGGTGTAAAGGGTTGAATATCGATAACTTGATGCAATTGCAATGGTCATCAATAATGTCAAAGATCATAAAGGAAATGGAGTTGATGATAATTTTATAGCAATACGGGGCATGTACATATATCTGTGTGACCAGTCTGTATTAGTTAATAAGGTATTTCTCTTTCTACAAACGAAGGAGCACTCAAGTTTTAAGATACTGATCAATGTTATAAACTCTCTCAAGTGCTAAGTTTTTATGTGAAATGAATAAAACATTCCAACTGTTGTACTGCACTAAATTGTTTTGTTTCGAAGGAAAATTTTGGGAAGAAATCAACAGACATGTCTTGATTTGGCCTGCTGTAGACTGTATGCATTATGTCAAGCTTACGTTTTAACCATCTGGGTAATCCTGTGGCCACATTCTCTTTTTTTAATTTACAGGAAGGAGTTGGTGCTGCTGAGAACTTGAATGAAATGCAGTGTATGTGGTTCCAAACAGAGAGTGGTTATGCTCTACAAAGACAAGGAAAGCTAGGAGAAGCTTTGAAGAAAGCCCATGAGATTGAGAGACATTTTGATGAAATTACAGAGGATCAGTTTGATTTTCATACCTACTGTATGAGGAAAATGACTCTTAGAGCTTATGTGAGGTAAGGTTCTTGACTTTAAGAATACAAAGCTTACAGGTGGTATTTATTTCCAGGAGGTGTTTACACTGGGTAATTCAAGAAGAGATACATGGGAGGGGAAGGTGCTTTTTAGATTGGTGGAGGCAATAACTGGATCTGAATACATTGGGTAATCATGGCAACCCAAGCAATTTCACAGTATTAGCCCCATCTAAATATAGCAGGCATTTGCCACTGGTATTTATTAACCAAACTTGAGGTGGACTTACAATGTGGCCACAAAGTGATGACAATGCACAAATTGACAACCCTCAAATATGTGACTCTTAAGCCTATGGGTAGTCCCTCCTATTCGATGAAGTTGGTCAAAAATATTCAGCAGAACCAATGAATTGATGTTCGCACAACAGATTTCACCATAAAGGATGGACTTCTCATTGTCTAAATTCTTTCCATGACAGATTTGCTGAAATCATTTATACCAGATGGATGGTAACGTGAATTTATCTGACTTTATAGAGCAGAGAGCCATAGTGGATTAAAAATTGATTGTTTTATTTCAGATTGCTGCGGCTTGAGGACGTTCTTCGAAGCCACCGATTTTACTTCAAAGCTGCCAAAATGGCAATAGAGGTAAATTTACATCCACACACACTGCAGAGAGACTGAAATTGGCTGAAGTAGATTTAAATGTCTTCTTCATGTACTCGCAAGAGAAAATCTGACCTTAACATGCCAGTGCGTGTCAGTAGAGGAGGGACGATTTTGCAATTGTCTTGTTTTGGACAATTTGAATCTGTTGGCAAATTGTAGTGTTTTTTTCTTTATTGATGCTAGTGCAATCTCTTTGAACTAACACATAGATTTTCTTCTTAATTTTCTTCTTTGTTACAGTGTTATGTTCGGCTTCATGATAAACCTATGACTGCAAGCGATGAAGATGCTGAAGCAGGGTCCAGTGAGCTCTCAGCCAAAGATTTGAAGAAACTACGAAGTAAACAAAGAAGAGCGGAGAAAAAAGCCCAGGAAAGCAAGAAGGGTTAGATTCCACAGGCCAGGAAATGCCTATATTTACCTCTCAGCTATGCTCTTTTTTTTGCTGTTTGTTACCCTTCAAAAGAAACATACAGCAGGCAGGAATGTAGGGTTAATTCAACATTTCTTGTTGCTAGCCATCCCTCACTCCGTACTTTAAGACTCCAGTTGGTGAGAAACTTGAGAGGGTTGCTCCCCCTCCCCCGCCGTTCAACCATGACCGTCTTTCAGCAGGGAAATGGTAACGGTGGTTTTAGTATAGTCTATTCTCTTTCTTCCCCCCCCCCCCCCCCCCCCTTCCTTCCCCAGGAATCTCGAAACACTCCACGTCACTGTTATATCATGAGACTCTGACTCAGGCAGGAGGGTGGAATTACGTGTCATGACACATCCAGGAGGATTATGTTGGTAATTATAGATTTACGGTGCGCATTTCGCGCATAAGATGCCCTTGAGAACCCCTTCACCACACTGTACGCGTATGCTCTCGACACAGGAAGAAAAAAGGTGTGACCGTTACAGAGACAAGTTGCCTCACTCTTCGCTACATCGTAACGTTATTGTTAAATTAATTTTTTTTCCTTCAGCCACTAATGACGTAAAAGAAAACAAAGAGAGTGACAAGAAGGCAGATCCCTTTAAAGAACCTCCGTTGGAATCAGACGCGTTAGTCAGGGTAAATATTGAAATGAGAAACATGCTCCAAATTTCTTAATGGTACAATCTATCAGTGTGCCGGGTTGTCGTTTGTGTTCTCACAGTAGTGTACCCTCTTCTCGCCAGGTGACAGATCCATTAGATCAAGCTCTCAAATTCCTCCGGCCGTTACAAAATCTGGCGTCAAGTAGAATAGAAACTCATTTGTTGGCGTATGAAGTGTTCAGCAGAAAAGGTACATTATTGCTCACACACATGTATGAACTGACTGAAAATGGTTGCTCTCATCTTTCTCAGACTAGTCTTTCTTGCAAGTTGAGTTCGACGGACCTTTCGTAGTCTGGTTGAAATTTTACGACTTTTCAAAAATCAGAAAGCTCGTTCAATGAGTAATTGTAACGAACAGTCAAAACGATACTGCTTTCTTGTTGATTTGCAATCCTCAAGCTCTGTTTTCCGGAAAGCTAGTTTTTTCCTTTTTTTTATTAATTTTTTTTAATGCAAACATGAAAACCTTACATTACAGGCAAACTTCTGCTGATGTTACAGTCTGTTAAACGTGCGCACGCCATAGATGCAAACCATCCCAAACTCCATGAACACTTAGTCAAGCTTGCTGTCAAAGGTGAGTGAGAGGCTCATCAACATTGACTCCATGGTCTGTTTGCTAATTTGTCAGGGCAAGAGGGAATACAGGCTTGGAAGGGCAACCTCTCTGCTCCGAATTTTTACAAATGTTTAAATGGACAGTACACTATACTTTGAGTCTCTTAGCAACAGGGAATCTCACGCAAACCACAACGGCGACGGCAATGAGAAAGTGGCAAATCAAATTCTTAACCCTTCACACCCTAACATCAGTTTGCATTTTCTCCTTACTGTCCTCAATATATTTCCTGATGTACTGAAAAGGAGAATTTGTTTCACAATGGAGAGCTCCTCTAGTTGGTGATAATTTCCTTTAATGTCCTGACCTTAACCTGTGATTTTGGGGTGATATTGTGAGGCGAAATTAGATCCTTGTCACTCTTAACCTATCGATTGATGAGCACTTTTTCGTCGAATTTTACGCATCATTGTTTAGTAACTGTTTTTCCTTTTCCAGTTTCTGAGTCAAAGCACATGAAGGAGCCTGTGGCAATTGTAATAGAACGAGAGTTGAAGACTCTTCTTGACGGAAACGATATCAAACAGTTTAATGCCGATTTCGTGGAAAAACATTCTCATTCCTTGCTTCATAGATTTTCAGGTGAATAATAAAAATAAGTTCTAGTTTTGTTTGAAGAACGTACTGTACGTCTTAACTCTTTTTCACCCCAACATCAGAATAAATATTCTCCGTACTGTTCTCTTTACATTTCCCATGGTGCTGACGAGGACAACGATCGAGAGCTTCTTTAATCGGCGATCATTTCTTATATTCTCCTGACCCTAATGTTTTGATTCAGGGGGTGATGTTGTAAGGAGAAGTAAGATGGCAATCACACTTGAGGGTCAAAGGGTGTAGTTACGCGTTTCTCTCCCTCTGTAAACATGCCATCAGAACTGAAAGAATAAGGCTTGTCGCAGGCTTGATATGAAGAATTGTGATTCGATCTGTCGCCTCTTTACGATTTTACTGGGTGGGGGAGGGGTGGTTAAGGGGGAAGCATTTTAGTTCAAAGCTCCTCTGAGAAACCAAGAGCACTTCTCTGTGAGCTTCATACTTTTTCAAGTCTTTTTTTTAGCTGTGGAATTGTTAGTCATCATGCTATCATAGAGCCGACTTTTAGTTTCGTATGTTGCAAATGCTGACATGATGTACTAATTTGTTAGTTTGTTTGATTTTCAGGGAGCAAGATGCTGTGTCTTTTGGATGCTTCTAAGGTAGACGATGCGCTGGCGCTGGTTACGGACTTATCTGATAGTCTAGAAGATAGGACATTAGAGGTAATTTTACACGAAGCTACGTCGAAGACGGCTGGTAGAGGGAGCTTCTTCGCTTTTTCAGTGTTAGCTAACCCTAACCCTCAGACAAAAGTAAACTAACATAACCCTGGTCCACAGGGATTCGGTGTGGTGAAATTCGCTTAATTTTGTTTTTGTTGTCTTACAGACCTGCACAATGATTTACAACGCTCTTTTAGAGGGTACGTTTGGCGAGTGCACTGATTTGACAAGGGAGTATTACCTCAAATGCAGGACTGTATTTCCTTTGGCTTCTGTGTTCGCAAAAGACGACGGAGTTGTCGGGAATGTAAATGGAATAGACGGTGTCCAGACTGGCGCAAGTGAGCCGTTATGCGACGGCGTGGCTTAAGTTGAATGACGAAACACCTGAGCAATTTAAACTGCCATTTTATGCAGACACGCCCAACGGCCTTTTAAATGTGTGGAGAATGGAAGATGAAAAGTCCATGATGTACTTTGTTCAGAGAATTTTAAGTATTTTGGTGAAAGAATGCTGCAAAATATGAAAACCACTTCGTTGGGTAGAAACGGGCTACTCAGAGAAAAAGTGGTCGAAAGTGTTCTTAGGACTTGGAGGAGCTGCTCCAACAAATGATTGCAACAAACATTGTACTAAATTCTCGCGAGGTGTTACACCTTGACTCTTGTCCCATGCAGAAACGATTAACCAGGAACCGAGTTCAACTTAGATTTTGACGCTGAAAGCTGAAGTTAAATTGTAAAAAATCCAAACATTGTTCCCATAAGCCTCCTTCGTAGCTTTTCTTTAATATGCCAGAAAACTTTGTTTGACATCTTGTGAACGGCTACGAAGGAGACGAGAGCTCTTTGAGATATTCCAAAAAATTACTTATCACCATTTGAATCACAACGCAGCTTATTTTTAAAAATAAACGAACAATTCACGATGGAATTAGTTTCGCCAAGCCTAAAGAAAATATTGTTAAACATTTCCATTTAAGGTCTACTTCAAACGCCAAAGATTTTATGAGCTGAAACGTATAACTGGAATTTGGAGTATAGTTATGTTCGTTTGTCTTAATTAAGAACGGCTATTTCCATAGGAAATGACAGAGCCATTTTCGCTGACTTCCTTAGCTAAGTAGAGCCAGAAAAAAGGCACTTTTCTCAAACCACTAAATATCCTGGAACTTTGTTAGAGACACGTTCAACCTCAGGATCAAAAATGCGTCCTTTTAATAATTTCGGTTGGCCCTATACGAATTTGACTCGGGCTCACGAATGGATTGGCTTTTGAAACGGACGCAAGTCGCGTCAAATGTGATCCAAACTTTCTAATCTGATTGGTTTTCTTTGATTGGAGAGTGAGGATTGACCTATTTTGATGACTTTCGACGCGAGTTAACATGAATATCCCCGAGTTGCATAGGTTTTTGGCGCGACTCGGAAGAGAACTGAAGATTACACTTGAACATAACAATTAATGTTCACCCACACAGCGCGTTCTTATCTCGATCAATCAATAAAACGATGATTTCTTGGACAAAACTCAAGCAATGCTTTGTGGTAATGAACTTATTACGAAACTGTGACAGATGACGAGTGTGTGAAGAGAGGAGGAGAAGGGTGTTCAGTAGAAAACATTTTATAGGAGAGAGAGCTTAACAGACCCATATTTGAATGAGATCGGTATCTCCTTCAGAGTTGGACTAGGTAATATACGACGGACGTTAGAAGACAGATGTCCCGTTTATGAAAATACTGAACTCTTGAGGTAAAAGTGATCTAAAAAAGCTGTTACAACGAGATGCCCCTTCGTAAAACACTCACAAATAAGTAGTTTGAATTCCGCGCAGATGGTCATTGATCGGGCAACAACAACTGACATCAATCGACGCGAAATGATCATTGAATTTCCCTTCCTTTGAGGAAAATAGAAGAGTCCGTTTTCATTGGGTATTCCTGACCAGATTGAATTTAACTTTAAATCGACTGTGTAAAATAAATTTGAAGGAGATGAAATTCTAAACATACCCACATAATGTTTATCATTCCGAGAGAAACGTTTCTTAACTCCCACGAGTGACGAAGACAGAATTTCTCTCTGCTATATCAATACAATATCAAGCAGACAAAGTGATGAAAATAAAGACATATAAGTCATGCTATTATCATCATCCAATACCAAATTCTACGAACTAGCATCATAAGAATTGTATAACAGAGTAAGGAGAATTACTGGTGACATCTTGAGAATGGAAGGGTCAACCAAAAACGCAAACTACTCGCGCAAGTGTGGTAGGGTAATTCGCCATGCAAAATATTTCACTCAATTTTTAACCCCATAAAGGCGCCGTAATGACGGTCCTAAGAGAGATTTACGGCCCGAAGTCGTGCGTCCTATGCAAAAGAGGGATTCTCACAAGACCTCGGAAATATTAATACAAACCAATACCATAACATCTTTAATCTTCATAATAGTTGCTCTTTGTTAAATTTCTCAAAGTAAAACAATATCATTAAATCCATAAATAGTATATTATTAAATAATACTCTATTAAAAGGCACGGCAGAATGAAAAAAAACTCACTGCTTGATAACTCGCTTCCGTTCTGTTTGAAACCAAGGGAAGGGAGAGTTTCGGCCCCCATTCTCTCAATTCCCACGGATTTTTCTTTTGTGTCATTTTTTTTTCCCAGTCACCGCCTTTCCAACAACCGGATCTGGGCCTTTCATCTTAATAACCTGCGTCGTTGCAGCCCACCGTAAGAAATGAGCCGTTTTTCAGTCTTCAGTTGCCTTTAATTCACTGCTTATAATTGCAAGCTGTTCCTAAACGCTTGATGTTCATAGAGGTATGTGGTTATAAACTGAGGGAAGTCTCGCTTCAATACGAGCTCCTCTAATATCTTAGCAGACATCGTAAGTCTTTCTGTATCAACAGAGTTGTAAGATTTCTGGCTGACAAGCTCGTCTGTGATACGTTTAATTTCACCACAAACGAGGGCTTTAGTCACTATGAGGCCATCTCCTTCCAGTTTGCACCGATGGCGAATTGCCTGCCAAATCTGAAAGTAACACGGAGGAAGTATATGCTAAGAAATTTGTCATGATCATTTTTCAGACAACTTTAAGTGTATCATCCCCTTGTGTATGTAGTGTCTAAAACAGTGTCCACCTTACCTGTGACCTTGAAATTTCGGCTGTGGCCGAGTCTTCTACAGCTCCATTGAGCACAAACACACCCTGGCCTGGGTACGAATAAATGAGCAACATACAAAAGTTAATGCGAACGAGCGTGCGTGCAGTAAGACAGAGAAATGGACATTGATAATTGAGATTGATAACTGATTACATTGATTAATTGATATTTAATAACAATGATAATTAGCATTAAAGCACTCTAATCCGGAGTGAGGGCCATTATACTGAATATGCAATAAGCCGTACAACTTATCTCAAAATCTGTTTTTAAACCCTTTGGCCCCTACGAGTGATTGGCATCTAATTTCTCCTTACAGTATCCCTGCGGAATCAAATATTAAAGTCGCGAGAATGAAGGTAATGATCGCCAACTAGAGCTCTTGATAGATGAACAAATTCTCCGCGTTCGCACCATAGAAATTTTGTAGAGCACAGTATGGAGAATATGGATATCCATATTAGGGTATAACGGGTTACGCTGCTACAAAACGAATTGTAATCCGCTTCCATCTCCTCAATCCTCATCAATCCACGCTTCCTTTTGATTTATCACAGATTCTGTTACATTTTTCTACTTTACCAAACTAATATTCTGCAGCCGTCTTTCAGCTGAAGTTTGCTTTGCCTTGCATACAATTGCCTAAAATATTCTGATATGCAACGACCAGACACAAACCTCTTGACCAAGCATCTATGAACAGGATTCCGACAGTAATGTTATCCTGTAATCCTTGTAAGGTGAATCCACCCTAAAAATGTACAAAGCTATAAGTTAAAATGAAAACTTCGAGCGCCTTCATAAATTATCGCGTTCAAGCAGTATTCTCACCCTTGGTAGTTGTAGAAGGTCGTTTCTAGAGACCATCAGTTCAGAACGGCTTACATGAAGCTGGTTCTTGGAATTTACCTCTGTCTTCCACATCTGAAAATAACATTGGTTGACAAGAAACAAAGTTAATTGGCATATCCCCTTGTTCTTACTCATCCGCCAAGCTCACTTAAATGGCTTCTTTATAAAAAAAATTCACAAACTCTTCTCAACAAAAAATAACAATAAAAGTCGACGTGACTTAATTGCACACTAAATTACTGACCTGAATCAAAGGCTGCACAAGATCAGGATCAAACACTAAAAATCCATCCGCTCCTGCTTTGATTTCGTTCAGTTTTGCTCTAAACAAAAAAACATCAAGACAAAGTTACACCGAATTTCTCTGGAGAGAACTTTAGACATGAACCATTACGTAAACAAATGTAAAGAGCTAAGGATCTGTTTTCATTTCCTATTCTTACCTGCAGACTTTATTAGTGATTTGCTGTCGAAGATGCGGATTATCTTTCGGTAACACAACTGGCGCCATTCCCCCTGTTGCGTGACACCCTCGTGCGTGACATGTCTGGACAACAAGAAAAGGAATCACAATTCTTTTTAAAGTGATTCCTCATTATTGCACCGCGCATCCTGTACTACGCATAACACACGTGAGTAGGAAAATACGCACGAGCGCATACTAAGCACATGGTATTGTTTTTTCAATCAATGGACAGGCCGTTATTACTTTAATAATTTAAGGCATTTATTGCAATGTAATGTACCTTAATAACCAGCTGCATGTAACTTTTAAGGTACTGCTTGTCCATAGATACGTACTTCTTACGATCAGGCAAAATGAAATCGGCCCTGTGTCCTGAAACGACAATGTTTTACCCAGCTTCATAAACAAGTGCCTGTATAACATAGCGCAGAAATAGCTAAACCAAAATTTAATTGTCCGTCCAACTGCATAAAACGACTTGATGGTTAAGGAGGGAAATTCTAACACTGATTGTAAACATGGTAAATGAGATACTTTAAAATGGACTAAAAGAGTTGAGAAGTTGAGTCGCGGTTATTAATCGCTAACAATGACCAGTATCTAATTTCTCCTTACAGTATGACGCCTAAATCAAACACGAGGGTCACAAGAATGAAGGAAATGATCATCAACTAAAGAAACTCTCGATTGTTAAACAAATTCTCCTTGTCAGAACCTTAGGAAATGCACAGAGAACAGTATGGAGAATATGCATACTGATGTCAAGGTGAAAAGGTAAAAAAGGACATTAGCTACTACTTTTTCACTTACCAAAGTTGCTAATTAAAGAAGCGGAGTAATCCCACATGCCACAGTTCAGACCAGCGGAGTGATGCCGCAGCTCAAACAGGATTTGATCAAGTTCAAATGAACAAAAGATACTCTCTATCAGAACACTGGCCTTGATAGATCCTTGCGGTAATCCGAGCTGAAAATCAGAAGAACAAACCAACACATAAAGACAGAAACACGTTGGTTTTTTTAAAAAATGATTTTTAAACTTTGTAACGAGCGGTGAACAACTGAAAACGAAAGGATTCAAACACACTAACTCCGATTTCTAAATTGCATGCACCATCAACTGAGCTTGGGACCGCGCTGTTGAGTTAGATCATTTATATTCTTATCTCAAATGACCTCAAAAGCATCTTGTATACAGTTACTCCTACTATCACTAATGTTGAAAGAGTTCCATGTAACAAAGGAGTAAATTTTGAGCTCGATGTTTGGTCATCGAATTAACAAAAATTGGCATATCAAATGGTACTGCTTGGTACAGAGTGCATGTAACTGAATACAGAGCATTATAAACGACATTCCCTGGGTACGTATTTCATTTTCCTCTGTCCTCTTTTGTTTGTTAGTTTGTTTGTTAACTCAAGCCCTCCCCCAAGAGGCCATGTAAATTCGGGGTCGTTCGTGTTTAGTCACAAATCTCCGTTAAGGCTCTTACGCGCAGGCGTCTGGCCGAGTTGCCACAATTAGGCTTGAAAAACGAGTTGAATAGCATGTAAAAACAGTGTATGGAAGGGATAATAATTTTCATATGCTTCTAATTCATATACTTTTCACAGGCCTTGCAAATGCAATTCTCGTACGCAAATTTTCTCGTGAAACAGGTGTGAAACAGTGTTTGAAAATAATGCTTAGACCTTCCATTTACGAGCGCCTGACTACACGGAGATTACGATACGCCTCTAGTTTTTTCACGACTTACCCTTTGTTGAGTCCAAACAAAGATGTCATTCCACAACTTCACTTCATTGGATCCTTCAAGCTAAAATTAAAAAGTCAGAAATATAATGTTGAGCCAAGCGGCTAACTTGTTCAGCAGCTATACTTCCCCTAGTTTCGTACAGTGGAGCGAGTGAAAGGCTTTTTTTCCAATTCCAAGAAACCTGGTAAGGCTGTAAGTACTCTGAAAGCTTGGTGCTGGTAAGTACCCATTGATTCACAAGTGTGTTGGCTGGGTAGCCTGTTCCAGGCGTTCAGTTCGCAAAACGAAGCGCAATAGTGTAGTGCGCAATAGTAGAGCAGGGAAAAGAAGGAGAGAGGTTTGGGTCGGGTCACGGCCGGTCTCAAACTTCTCTTGGTTTCTCACTCCGTTGCTACGATCGCGCCATTCAGTATTTTACTCCGCTTTACCACCCGAACGTCTAGAGCAGACTAGTTAATGGGCAGTGAGCAAAACCTAAACAACTACTTGCACAATCTATCACTTAAGGAATGGCATGGGGATATTTTCGAGAAGGGCACTTGTTGACTTAAAAAAATGAATCATTCCATGAGCTGAACTGGATGGCACCCAGGATGTTGAAACGTTGATCGAATCCTTTTATTCTTTCATCAGCAAACTGTAACTGTATTATTATTTAAATGACCATAAATTGACGCCATAGTCCATGAAAGATACTGGGGATGACTTGACAAAAACGAAACTACTCTCTTACACGTCACAATGCCATTATAAAATGAAAATAACAGTGACAACAAAAGCAGTTTTATCCTGTATCAATACTTTTTAATGAAAACAACGAGAGGGGGGAGGGGGGGTGCGGAAGGAGGTGCTTATTAGATGTATTGAAACACAGGTTCACCAAGTATCACAGGGGAAGGTGCTCATTACAGAGTGGGTTCTCAATCACAAAGACACGGCAGATCACCTTTGGTAAGTAAAAGAAAGGACCGTTCCCATCTTTCATCATAAGTTTGCTGTTGTGGAACATGTGAAGACCAAAATCAAACAATGGACCCGGCACCACCTTTCCTCCAACCTACAAAGAATAATTAATAGTAGCTATTAATTATTGTTTTTCATTCCCAAATTGAGTGAATACACTCCAACACACCTTGCATTAAAAAGTGGAACTCAAAATAGTAGAGGGGCACAAGGATGGAATGTTTTCCTTGAAGCAGAAGTCTTTCAGCCTTTTAACCCCTAAGAGTGATAAGCAAGTAGTTTCTCCCAACAGTATCACACTTGAATCACACATTTAGGTCACAAGAGTACAGGAAATGATCCCAAACTCGAGAAATTCTTGGTTAGACAAATCCTCATTATGAGTACCATAGGAAATGTATAGAGAACAGTATGGAGAACTTGCATACTGATGTTAGGACATAAAGACTGTTCAAGGTAACCCATATACAGTGTTTTTTCCCCACATTCCCTGATTCAAAGCAAAGCCAGTAAATATTAGTCCTTGGAAGGTGACTAAATCTCCCAGCTAAAGTAAATTCAGATGTTTTTTCTGTTTTTGTTTACCAAAGCATCATAAAAATTTTGTCCTCTTTCAAGATTTTGGATTATGCACATCCATTTAAGCAACTACAATTAGCAGCAGACTTAAATAAGGAAGTCAAAGAACAAATTTGACAAGGGGTTGGAATGCAATCCAAAATCAATTTTCTCCAGAGGTTGCTATCTTCACCATCTTATGATTGACTCAGAGCCTCAGAGCACACACATTATTAAATTGTACACAAGGCAGTAGCCCTTACCATCATATTAAATTCAAACATGTTCCATGCTCTTGGTCGAAACATGATTACTGGAGCATCAGACATCACTGGAACACCTGTTTAAAAATTTCAATAATTTCACAAACAAAGGGTAAAATCATCTAAATCCCATATGTAGAAACTGATCATATCACTAACCACTTCATTTAAAAACAATTATATTGGATAACTGAGACTTCTGACATACATCACACAGAAATACAAAATATTAGAGACAGCTGAAACATAAGCATTATGAAGCACATTAGCTACAGGTAAGAACTAACCCCTAAGGTTACCACGTACAAACTGGTAGATGTTATAAAGGCCTCTTAACTGATTTGACCAAGAGGGACAATGGCCATCATCAAGATCAGTCTACAAGAAATAAAAAGACTAATAAGTTATCTGTTCAAAGAGAGCAGTGGTTTCAGGGTTCCCTTCATTTAGCAGTAATACCTACTCATTCATACATTTATCAAATATAATGTTGGAAGCTTGCTCCATTCTTAAAAACTTACTTCATGTATCTTCATACTTTCCCTTCAGCTGGAGATTTAATTTGAATCCAACCTTCTTCTGTCTCAGTACTTCACACTTCCTTGTCATTCTTCCATTTCTTATCCTTCTTCACTTATTTTTTCCCCCATCTGTTCTTTATCCCCTTTATTCCTCCTTTTCTTCTTCTTCATTCATTTTCTTTCTCCACATTTTCCTTCTTTTCCCATCCATTATAATTTTTTAGCCTCTCTATAAATTCTTTTTCTTCACTCCTAATCAAGTTTCCCTACTTTCATCATTTGTTAACCCATTAACTTCCATGAAGGAACAAGACAAAATTTCTCCTTACCATATTAGCACAATAGGTTATCAAGAACAAAAGAGATGAGATTAGAGATTGGGGATTACCACTTTATCTTGTACCAAATTCTCAGAACTGACATGATAAGAATTGTGTGGCAGACAGTAAGGAGAATTACTAATAAGACCTGGGAGAGAAAGGATTAAATAGATTGAGGCAAATCACTTAGCAGTTTACCTGAATGCCACAAGCTGGTGAATTTAAAGCCTTCATGAACATTTCTGTATCAGCAGGGGAGATGTCTCCAATATCAACCGCTCTGCACTGCAACCTGGAAGGTACAGGTGCCACCCTCCAGGTTTTATCCCTAACCTCTACACTTTGTGGTTGGAAGAATGGCAATTCTCCTGAGTCAAGTAGAGTCAGTTTCCTGATGCTGCGATATCTTAGCATCTATATGTACAGAAAAATCATTTA